CACAATACTTCAGAACCATAGAACAGACATAAAATCGAATCGAGACCATATTTACTGTCAAAAACCAGGTCCTAATGGGATTTTCGCCAGGAAACCTCATGTTTTTGGCTACTAATTCTCTTTGAAAATAGTACCATTGGATTCAGCATGAAATTCTGCATCCAGGACACTACTGCAGAATCATAGGACAGACATAAAATCGAATTCAGACCACATTTACTGTCGAAAACCAGATCTTAATGGGACTTTTGCTAGGAAACCTCCTGTTCTTGGCTAATAACCTACTTTGAAAATTGCACCATTGGATTCAGGGTGAAATTCTACACCTATTACAACCCTTCAGAAATATAGCAGAGCCGTGTAAGCGAATCGAGACAGTAAATATTGAATCTGGTGCTAACTTTTCTGAAGTCGAAAATCCCGTATATTGAGAACATTGCGATTGATTTTTTGGGACTTTGCTAGTAGTTTAGAAGAAATATTTTTTTACCAAAAGATGCAGCTTTTCACGCTCTATAAGAATATGTACAGAAAAGTCTAGGCACTTATAAACTAACTGTAGTACAAAAGCAAAATATAGAAAAATCAGCATGTCAAAGATACCAAAAAATGGTCGATTCCATGTCTTTTGACGACAATTTCTTTTTTTTCATTTGGAGAATAGTTTATATGAAATACATAGTTTTGTAGAGCATCTTCTGCTCTATCTAATGGTATAACTTAATAAAGTGTTCAATAAACTTTTTGTGATCGAAAATTTTATAAATGAATACGAAGCAAATCTCGTGAACTGAGCGAAAGTGATACATGGGCCCGAAAAAGTCGGGTCGGCAAAATTTTCGAAGGCTTCATTCAAAATTCGTAAAAATTTCGTTTTCGCCCTAAGTTTTAATGCTCTTTCAAACTAGCTATCTAATTTGAAAAAGTAAATTTTTTCGGCAACTGGCTTGGGCGGTGGCCTCGTGGACGCTCTCTTAAGTATCTGAAATAGTATTACGACACTGGTGCTCACTATTCAAACAGTTTCAATTCTATGCCTCTTAATTTTGAAAAGTAGTGTAACTAATGACATTAAACATTATATTGATATTTGAGATGACTCGTCTTTACAAGGTCATTCGAGCTCAAACTTTCTCATGATCTACCACATGAGCACCACCATACATAAGGAAAATCTCAGCTCGTTTCTATTTATATTAGTCTCGATAATGATTTTTTTTGATAGGATGTCTCTTACAACTGTAATAGTGGAGACGTACCAACTCTTCAAAAACGAGCTAAAGATACAAGAATTTTTTTTATAATAGACATAATTCATCAAGATCTACAAGATGTGCAAAATCCCGACTCAAAAGTGAATGAGTACAGAGAATTCTGATATTTCTAAGTTTTTTGTCCACAAAAGGGATCAGATCTGAAGAAACGGACATCACAGAAGTTGTATACTATTGCAGATTTTCCGATTATCTGGAAAATGCAATGAAACAAAAGGAACTAACAACTTTTGTTACAAGTCAATTGTGATTTAAAATTATGAAGACATGTAGATAATATACTCGAGACAAATAATTTTTGTTTGTATTTTTTTATACATTATCAAAAGAATACAGATAGCTATGATTGAATAAAATTTAAAAAAAACATGAAAATTTATTATTAAAAAAATACACAACAGATATGGAATTGTAGGACGGAAATGATTGCTTATCATACGAAATCAGAGATCATGCAGTTGGACTATCCCTTGTCCATTATATATTTTATTAAAAATAAATTGTCTTATTCTTTTAAACTTTTATTCTTTTCATTTATTTTTCACCTTTTCATATTCATTGTTTTTTCAAATATTCATTATATACGTCTGTATATTTTGTTATATACTCAAATAAGATAGATGTAATACGGCAATACTGAATAGAGCATAGACTTATGAGTGTTTCACATAAACCAGTAGAATACACGAAACATTCAGTACTACAAGACAAGTAATCAATTGTCGTATTCAGATGAGTATTTTCACTAGGACAGAAACCATCCTTGACTTGATTCCGATACGAAAATTTCAAATCCATTGGGGGAGATGGATAAGAAAACGGCATTATTCTTCCTCGTCTTTTTATGGGCCTTTGATACAATATCTATTGATTTTCAGTTAGCACAAAAATACGGTTTGTTCATCGCTTTACTTTGTACAGCGTACAAATATGTTTTTTTTTCGCTAGATTTGATATTTCGATCGATTCGAAGGTTTTATAATCTCATAAACGATAAGTTCAGTTTAGGGATGTGCTTCACACCGAGTTAGCACCATCCAATTTAAATCGAAATGATATTGAATATGCCTAACATTTTTAGCTGATTGGAGATTTCTTTCCATGTTCTCTTTGACATATTCTTCATTACACTGAAATGGAACTTAACGAACGAACAACAACAGTATAAAACAAGCCAGAAAAAAATTTTAACTTAATCATTGTAGTGGTGAGATTATTGATCTGAGACGATCATTCATCAGTAGATATACATATTGAATATAACTCTTTGTTGTCTAGATCATCTACTTTTAATTTACTAACTTATATGACTAAGGAGTAAAAACATGACCAAAATTTCTTATTGCTTTGAGTACTCTTATTGGATTCACAGCTGTATTCTATTCAATTAAGAAGCATGGTACGTTGTACCGTGCGAGACAGAAAACGAGTAAAGTGTTGAATTGGGATTTTAACGAATGTACGCAGCTGCTGTAGTAATATTTTCATCTGTCGTTCGTCGATTATTATTTGCCGTAGCAATGGTAGATGAGTAAATTCGCTGCGACTCAGACAATGAACATTTCTCATTAACACGATAATTACCATTCAGTTCTTTCCTTATTCCAACAAGAAGAGAGCAATGATATAAAGATAAATTCTTTCCTTTTAAATCAATTTTTTAAATAGATTTTAAATGGTGATCAAAAAAACGATCCCCTCATTAATATTCTTCCAAATTTTGCATTAAAATTTTGTCTTGTTATTTTGGCTTCTTTATTCGTTTCTTCTATCTTCATTCTATACAAGAGACAAGTTAGTTAGCTACACACTGACTAGTCTGTCAATTTAGTCAAACTCTTGTTTTTCCGTTCGAAGTATTCAACAGAAATAAACTTCTTGCTTCTTTACTTCAGTAATGATGAATAACAATGTTTAAAAAAATGTAACATGAAACAGACATGAATAAAGTTGTGCGTCATCATGTTTACGACAAAATACGTATGTTCCTTATGTTAATAAAAGATTACATAGATTGCTAATGACGTCAAGGATATGACTCTAACGGAAGAAAACAGTACACTGCGGCTCTATATAAATATAAAACCTTTTTTGCTTCATTTATCTTATCTATAACTATGGTCAAGGCATAGATGTCTTTCATTTTAAATACATATTTTTTTAGTTTAATCTTCTAAAACGTTGATGTCATACGCAAACGTTGCCTCACCATAGTCTCCTATTAGCCTACTCCTACAGCTCCAATACCATCACCACAGAATCGAATTATAATGGATCACTTTCTAATGCAATGACAACAGCCGAAGCACGTATGCAAAAATTTGCAGAAATTGCAGCTCGATATGAAATCAGTCTTCAATTTGCAACTCGTCTACGACAACTTGAAGGTTATGAAATTGTCTTTTTATGTGATGATTCAGGTTCAATGGGAACTGTTGTTGGTAAGTTATATTTCTTTTCTATGTTTACATCAGCAATGTATTGTTTCTAAGATGTAAACCATTTTATTGACTATGTCCCAGTTAGTTGAGGAAACCCTATTCTGCCGTTAAAACGATGTTTAATGTCACATCGTTTAAACGACGATATATTGACCAAATTACGCGTTTATCACAAAAAACGATTTTCTACGTCATAAAGTAATATTATGTTCTTGTCGTTTAAACGTCGGATTGTAAATGTCATAAATAGTGATTTGTTGACGTTAAAACCATAATTTTTCTTTATTTTATCTGTCGTAAACGATACTTTACTTGAAAAAGAAGTTTAATATTCCAGAATCATCTTCGTCTTACATGTAACCTAACCATTTATCTAATTTTATTAATTTGATGATGGACAATACACGTTCATACTTTTCCTCAATATCTCAATGCATTTCAATGGGTAGGTCTCATTTTGTTTTCGAAAAAGAAGAAGTTAAATTTCTAACAACTCAAAATATTTATTTAAAGAAATGAAAGTTCATGCATCTATGAAACATAAGATATGAATAGAAGTCTCTTCTACAAACTTTTCTTTTTGTATTGATATTTGTTCAAAAGATTTCTACTCATGCCTTATATTTTAAAGATGTATGAACTTCACTTCTTTAAATAAATATTTTGACTTTTTAGAAATTTAACTATTCTGTTTTCTTGAGAATAAAATGAGATCTTTTCATTAGAATATGTTGAGATATTACAAAAACCTGACTACAGTCTTTCTACTGACACATCGATC